CACTCACCTGTTCCAATCAGGTGAGCCCCACCCATCTTCCCCCATTTAAAAAAAACATTCTGCTATCCCTGGAACCAATAAGTAGTTTGTAGAGCAGGAAGCAGAGGGAGTGCTAGGGAGTATATGTGAATGAGGTAGTTTGTGCTCTTCCAACTTTTGCCAAACAAGCATTATCTACAAACACAGGTGCACCTTCCTCCCTTCAGCCACCTATCCATTAAAATGGTTTAATTACTTCCTGAACACTAGACAGTTAGATAATTAGAAGGCAGCATTCAGACCAAAAATTTAAGCCACCCTATTCAATCAGGGTAAAACTGTCTGATCAGGAAGCTAATTAGGAACCAACTGTAGTGGCTCTTATTGGAAAGAGTTTAGGGTTTCAAAAGATCCTGCTTCTCTCTCCCCAAGGCCCCTGTCTCCTCCATCATCATTGAGGCTTTTCAGTCTCCTGAAACTGTGTTAGCTGCCCAAGCCTCAACCATACCTCCTGTCCTCAAGGGGCTTATGATCTAGGGAAAAAAGCATAGCAGTGTTCAAACAAGGCTTGTGGAGTAAATGAACAAATAAATGGTATAGTGCTAAGGGTGCATAGGCAGGTATTCAAAAGGTTGAAAGAAGTGGTAAGAGTTAGCACATTGGGAGAGGGTGAGAGCAAGGCTCTGGGTAAAGAGCAAGCCCCCCTGTCCAGAATCAGGCAGGCTGATCAAGGGGTCCACAGTGGTCCGCTGAAGATTTATGAACGCCCTAAAATTATAAGGACAGTTTGTGTGTTTGGTTTTTCTTTTTCCAGGAAGACGGTCCTTAGCTTCCATGAGATCCTCAAAGGGGTATATACTGAACACATTAGGATCTACTGGGCTACAGGGAGATTGTCTCTCCTTCAATGAGCCCTTGAAGACTTGTCACGCAAAGTGCAATTGCAGGAGCCATTGGAATCCTGGAGACAAGAGTGACAGTGGGTAGCAGTCTTGCCTCCTAGGATCAGGGTGTGTTGGAGGTTGGAGAGGCTTTGAGGTGTTGCCATCCAGTCTCTTTGCTTCACATCAGGAGGCTGAAGTGACTCAGTACTGTTTGCTCTTGTGAGTCAGTGCTTAACCGCAGGGGCCAGACCAGCCACCTCTAGATTTACAATTTCTGTAATTTCCATTGTGCCTCATCCCTAATCATCATCATCCCTCACTCACCATCACAGGTCCCAGCCTCTAAGACCACCCTCACAATATGGACAATCATCCCTTTCCTGTTTTGCTCATCCCTTAACTGGTCCCATCTTCCTAGCCCTTCTATTGTGCCCTCTGGACCTCATGGTCCATCATTGGCAGCCCTTCTCTGAGTATAACTTTCATCTTCCCTTAATTGCAACATAACTGTCTCCTGAAGACATTATTTCTTGCATGACTTTCTCAAGTGGTGGCTGCTTTTCCTATCATGCACTATTCTGTGGGGTCTGGAGGTGGGATCCCCTTCTTGATGTTGTTGGCTGCTGACTGCCTACTCACATTCCTTGATGGACCTGACTCATACACTCCCTCCCACCAGTCTTGACTTCAGAATCTTTACAGATCAGTGGTTCTCAGCAGAGGTGGTACCATCCCCTAGTGGGAATTTTGGAAATGTATGAAGTTTTTCATTTGTTTTCAAATGTAGTTGTGCCCAGCATTTATATTGAAATTTATATAGTCTTGTTATAAATGACCTTCCATTTGTTTTCTTTTTTCCCCTTTATCTGTTAGGGCAATATATATCTCAACCATCGTGACTTATCTTATGAACCTCATTTCAGGATAAAAAAGGGGATATTAAAATATATTTGTTATAAAAAGAAGGCATTTGGTCTGATAGTACTGAGATGACTGATGCAGAAAATATGTCCAACTCCTCATTACTCCGAAATAATTTTCCTCCCGCTCACCTCATCCCCACTCAAATGGTCAACCTCTAGACCTTATCCTCACCAAGAACCACACCACTCCCAAAGTCTAGATTTAAACATCCCACTCTCTGATGATCATCCCCCTCCGCCCCCATCTTTGTGGTTTACTGATTCCTTGGCTGATGCATGGAAGAGGCAAGGAACACAGGTGACTTCTAGAAGCTGAAAAGGCAATTCTCCAACTTCATGGAGACCTCTTGTCATTGACCCTAAAACTTTTCTTTTTCATTATTCTTTATTTTATTTGTGTCTTCACTTCTCTCCTCCCCAGGGTAATAACTACTCCCTTGCAAACATCCAGAACTCTCACCTTCTCTCCTGCCTTACTTTCCTGGAGAAATAGTCAATACTGATTACATCCAGCTCTCTTCTTATTCCACAAATACACCTAGCAAGCAGTTGAAAGTGTAGGAAAAAAATCACATAACCAATGACTAGACTCATTTCAAACTTATGGCCACAAATTTCAAATGGGCACCCAACACCAGCAGATGATTCTGCCACATCTCCCTTGCAAATTCACTCTCCCACTTTCCAAGATAACTATTTCTCACTTTCTCTTTTCTCCACAAATTGTCAGCACTTCCTCCCTTATCCCTTCCCCCTTAGCTGATGACTTCATGGAAGAAAAAGGATGCACTTGCACTTCTATCATCTTACCTTCAAGGTGTCCACCAAGCCAGTGGTCACTCCTCATTTCACTGACCTCTCAACAGCATTTTCAAATTATCACACTCTCTTTCCTGAAATATATATTTCTCTAGACATCTGGGTCTCTACTTGCTGGTCTTGCTTCTACACCATTTATTGCTCATTCAGAGCCTCACCTCCATCAAATTGTCACCAAACCTCTATACATCGGAAGGCTCATAGAGCCTGTTATTGGCTCTCTTCACTTGTTTACCATCAGGAGATCTGGGCCATTCCTAAGGCTTCACATTCTATCTCTGCACTGATGACTTCTATCTCCAGGCCAGACCCCTCCCTAAGCTTCAGACTTATATATTCAACTGTCATGCTGGTCCTTCCAGTGAGATTTCTATCAGACATCTTAAATGTACCATGAATAAAATACTAGTATAACTATCACTATGGCTAAATAATGGCCCCCAAAGACATCCAGGTCATAATCCCTGTAATCTATTAATGTTGCCTTATGGTAAAAGGGATTTTGCAAATGTGATTAATTTAAGAATCTTGACATGGGGTGATTATCCTGATGACTCAGGTGGGCCCAATGTAGTAATCACAGTGTTCTTATGAGAGGGGGGCAGAGGGAGGCTTGAAGACAAAAGAATAGTAGGAGATGTGACAGTGAAAGAAAGAGGTAGACTGATGCAAGGAAGAAGCAAGGCAACTTCTAGAAGCTGAAGAAGGCATGGAAATGGGTTCCCCACTCAAAGCCACCAGAAAGAACCAGCCTTGCTGACACCTTCAAATCAGCCTGGCGAGACTGATTTTAGACTTCTGATCTCCAGACCTATAGAAGAATACATTTGGGTTATTTTTAGCCACTAAATGTGTGGTCATTTGTTATAGCAGTCGTAGGAAACTAATAGAGTCACTGCCACCACCACACAAATCCACACCCCCTACCCTTGTGCCTTTTACATCTTGATAAATGGCACCATTACTAACAGCTAAGGCCAAAACCTTCCAGTTGTTCAGATTTTTCTCTTGATCCACACCACACCTGTCAGCTCTACTCCCAGCATACATCCTGATTCCAATGGTTCTCACTGTCTCCACTGCTATCACCCTGGTCTAGGCCACCATCATTTCCTCTTGTGTTCTGCTCCTACTCTTGTCCTCCTCAGTTTATTGCTTCACAGGAGCCAGAATGATCTTTCTGGAGGGTAAATCAGATCACATTATTCCTCCTACTAAACCCTTCAATGGTTTCCCATTATATTAGGATAAAATACAAGTTCCTTGTCATGGCCTACAGGGCCCTATCATTGATTGGCCCCTGCACTTATCTCCCTGAACTTCCCCACTCATTCACTGCACCCTGGCCACACTGACCTCTTTTCTGACCCTTTGCATCATTCCCAGCCCCCAGCCTTTGCACTTGCAGTTCCTACCACTGAATGCTCTCCTTTCAGGCCTTTGCATGGTCTCAATTCAAATATCATCTCCCACCACCTTCCTGCTAAACAGGACCTTTTAGAACCTGCAGCCAGTGGCTATTTAACCCTATTTTACATTCCTCATAGCATTTTCTCAGTACCTGAAATAGTCCTACTGGCTTGTTTACATGACTGTTATGTGTCTCTCCACTAGAATGACTGTAAGCTCTGAGGGCAGGATTCTTCCTGTCCGTCTCACTGCAGTATCTCTAGTACTTGGCACACAGTAGGTACATAATTAATATTTATTTTCCTGGTTGTCTGACATGGCTTGTTTCTGACTCCACCTTCCCACTGGCCAATATAACTGTGTCCAAGTCTCCCAGGGGTGTGTGTATTTCAGTTGCGCTGGGCTAGTTGTACAAAGAGTTAACTAGTGGAATTTCGGACATCATTCAGCAGCTATGGCATGACCATGGGGTTTCTTTCATTCAACATCAGCTAAGTACGGGGTGCCATGGATACATGGTAGAGGGAGGAAAAAATACAGGGTGGGGGAAAAGTAAGTTTACAATTGTGAGTACTCAAAACAGAGTTTATTCTTGTATTAGTATTTATTAATTATTGTATTATTTTATCAAACAACTGTAACCCTACTTTTGCCCCACCCCATATTTATATTATACCTCAAAGACAACAAATTTGGATCTTGTGAAGTCACAATGTGGGTGGGTAGAGTAGAGGTAGACAAAGGTATCACATGGAAGTTCTCAGCTATTCTGTGGACTTGGTGTGGTTTGCAGCCACTAAAGACTCGTTGAGCCTAGGAATGTAGGGATGGGAACCACGTGGCTCAGAGCTGAAAGGCAGGTTTGAAAAGAACAAATCAAACTAGAGAAATCCAGCTTGCCCCCCATCTACCTTCATTTATAAATACTGGGAGACTATGACTTGCTTTCCTTACGTGGCTTTCCTTCTTCTCCCTGTGGCCTCAGGTCTCATCATCCACGAGGGACCCTCCGTGTACCGCATCTTTAAACGGTGGCAGGCTGTCAACCAGCAGTGGAAAGTGTTGAACTATGACAAGACAAAAGACCTGGAGGATCAAAAGTCAGGAGGCAGGACAAACCCCCGGACCTCCTCGTCCACCCAGGCCAATGGCCTCTCCTCGGAAGAGGAGGCTGCGGACACCCCTGCCCCCGAGGAAGGCCCTGCCCAGGCAGCCAGCCAGCCCTCAGGCCCTCCCTCTGATCACCACTGTGCTTACACCATCCTGCACATCTTGAGTCACCTAAGACCTCATGAACAGCGGAGCCCCCAGGGCGGCAGCCGAGAGCTCGTCATGAGGGTCACAACCGTGTGAAAGGAGTGCCTGGAAGGGCAGCCGTGACCATGCACAACAGCGGAGGGTGGGCTGGGAAGGGGCTGGGCCCGATGGGATGCTGGTCTGGGGAGCAGGTGTGGGGAGGCCAGGTGGCTCCCCAGGCACCAGAGCAGAGGGCAGGCAGAGGGTGGGGGGCTTTGAGGGGTCTGGGGGCAGGATTAGAGCTGCAGTGAGTGATGTTGGTGTGGTTTTGTGGTTTCCAATCAGTCAATACCATTCTCCAACAAGAGCAAGGAAAACCAATACAAACTCAACAACAAAGTGCAATACAGACTGAACCCAACAAAATACAACAACAACACCGGGCACGTGTACCATGGTCAAACACCTGGGGGAAGTGGAGGCTGCAGAGGGCAAGGCTGGCCTGGGGATGGTGCCCACCTGTGCACGTGTGGAGGGAGAAGCAATGCAAAGGGCACAGAAGGAAAAGCACCTGCAGCCTGCCCTGCTTTACCCTTGAGTTTGTTTTGGTTCCTCTCTGGGCCTGACCCACTGGCTGTGGGGGGAGGGAGAGGGCCGGGTGAGGACTGGCAGGGATGGCATTCAGTTTTTGCAGCCCCTGAGCTCACCGGATGGGCAGGATTTCTAACTCAGATGGCTTTAGTGACTCTGGGTGGACCGTGTAGGGAGGGAGGTGTTGGTGTGAGCGGCCAGAGGGAGGGGGGATTTTCCTCCTTTCCACACCTTCCAAAGTGGAACTCCCAATTTCAGGTGGGCTCAATGAGGGCTTAAGTTTGGAGTTGGATGTCTTTTTGTGCCCTTGTTACTTTATTTTATGGTGATTTGGCTCAAAGATGTTTACAGGACACACACACACACACACACACACAAACTAGAGAAAAGTACAGATTTCTCATGGGCATCTCAAGCACAGTCCTGCTGCTGTGGCTTCAGCCTTCAAAAGCTGTCAATCCAGAAGTGACTTCCCTGCTGCCCACCCACCCATGGCCCACCTTGCTAGGCATGTGCTGAAAGCTGCTACAGCGAGTGGGAGGGAGTTGGCTGGATGTATCCCAGCCAGTGGAGTGGAGTAAGACCAGTCTAAGTATTCCTTGCTGCTGAGGACCCTCCCCGAGGGCAGTTTGGCTAAGCCCTCAGTGCTAGTGCTCCCTGGTCCTTCCCAAGCACCAAGGCTGGTCCAGGGACCCTGGCAGGGAGCACTGTCCCTTGAGCCCGCCCACTGGTTCCTGGGACCCTGCCAGGGAAGGCCACTGGGTGGCCACCTGCAGAGTTTCTTGTTGGCATTGCACAATGGCTGCATCATCCATAGGTATTCAAGGGACACTGTCAAATACTTTTTTAAACCAGTTTTTA